CAGTCGGAGTTGGCTTGATGCACCTTCCTCTTGGCACATTTCCCTCCATTCATGCCTCTTCAAATTCTACAGCACTGCTGGTCACAGCTGACCTCCAACTGGAGTGCTCAAGAGCCAGGGCTTCCCAGTTCTCAGTGTCTATGCCATAGTTTTTAAGGTTGGCTTTGAGCCCATCTTTAAATTTCTTTTCCTGTCCTCCAACATTCCGTTTTCCATTCTTGAGTTCAAAATAGAGCAACTGCTTTGGGAGACGGTGGTCGGGCATCCAGACAACATGGCCAGTCCAGCGGAGTTGATGGCGGAGGACCATCGCTTCAATGCTGGTGTTCTGTGGTGCGCTGGGCCTGTAACAACTGACTTTTCTATAGGACGTATACTTTGGCCCAGCGGGAAGCCGGGGTGCCTCAAAGAAAGGTCCTCAGGGATTTTCCTGAAGTGATGGTCTTTAGAGTCTTTAATGATATAACAAAGTCTTTATTATGGAACCAACAATAAATCTTCAAACAACACTTCAAAGCTTTCTTTTTCTAGTCCTTAGGAGACTGGCAACTGACTTAGATTAACTATACTTTCTCTGCATGAGGAAACCCCTTTATAACCTCTCCCAGGCTGTCTATCATCTGGGCCTCGTTGGTGTGGGTCTTACTACCGATTCCATATCTGTCTGGACATCGAGTAAACCTACCAGCCAAGGCTTGTAGATATTTCAACTGGGGTTCGCAGGTCTGTAATGCTGTTCTCCCTCCGAGAGATCTTTGGAAACTTCAGGGCTGTTTCCCTCTGATGCTGTGAGGCTGAGAGGCTGAGAACTCTCAGCCAGAGATTTGGGATCTTTTTTCTTCTGTTTCTGTTGGAATTTCTGTAACCCCGAATGGTCTGTTTCTATTTCCCCGGATGATCTTGAGGAATGAAGCTTTTTCTACGGGACGAGTTGGTCTACGTCCCATAGCCTAGCTTCCTTGTGTGAGACTGCCCAAAATGGTTCCTTTCCCTCCCAGAGCCCTGAACAGGGGGCAGAACCAAAGCTTAATGATGATAGACAGGTGGCCTATCCTATGACTGCAAACTTTAACAGGAGGAAAATGCAGTTGGAGCTTCTGGTACAGCCGTACCAGCACAACTGGTGGTCTTTGCTTCTTCCAGCACGCTGACCTTTGTCTGCTTGTCTTCCCAAGAGATTTGCAGGATTTTTCGGAGGAAGCGCTGATGCATGTAACATCTGTAGATAGTCCACGTCTCGCAGGCATATAGCAGGGTTGGGAGGAGAATACCTTTATAAACAAGCACCTTAGTATCCCTATGGATTTCCCAGTCCTCAAACACTCTGCTTTATTCAGAAAAATGCTGCACTCGCATCACTCTTTCATCACTCTTCTCAGCCTTTGTAATGCAGAGGTAATGAGGTAGTAAGCCAGCCAGTTTAGGAGCAAGGTTCATTTCTCCATCCTGGCATGATGCTCACTGAGTGACAATGAGTCAGTCACATGTCCCCCTTCAGAGGAAGTCTGAAGATAAAATGAGTGAGTGGAAAGGATGTCCTCAGTCTTGAGTTCCTAAAAGAAATAACAATCTATATACAAATCTATAGACACAGATAACTATAAACTATACAGCTATCTGCCCATGTTTTGAGAGCTTTAGAAGAGACCCTCCTCAGGATACTACCATTTGCTCCCAGGCTCTGCAACATACTTCCTAGAGTGTCTAGAGCACCCTGTGTGGCTTAAATGCATAATTGATAAATATAATACATTTATTTATTGGTTTGTTGCATTATATACATTTTTAAGGAACAACTCAAGAGTAAATGGTGTTGCATATCTCTATGCTTAAGTTACATGTATAGCACATAGCTACTTTCTTACTCTTTACTGACCTAGCTTTAAAAACAAACCAAAAAAAAACCCACACACAAACAAGTAGAAAGGGAGTTCAGGCACACAAATATGAAGATCGAGTGGGGAAGGGGTGGCATTAAGGAGCCCTTGAAGGAGGAAAATGAATTGAGATAAGCTCAATTGCATTCTACCACATGCCGAGTTAGGGAATAATTCTCTTCTTTTCAAAGTATAGCAGTGATGGAGGATGATTCTCAGGGGACTGCCCTAAAGTTGAACATTTCAGGGATTATCTGCCAATTAATTTCACCTTCAGTGACATTTTCCATCATACTAAGAATCTCTTCAGGATATATTAGAGCAGCTAATAGCCACTTCCACAAGAATGAAGGATCAAGGGTGTTTATCTCCTCATTCATAAAGGAGCAATTTCCCCCTACTGCTTGGGACTCACAGAGAGCTAAATCTAATGTGTTTTGCTGTACAGAAGAGTCTAAAATAAAGAGAAAGAGAGACAGAGATCCCTTCAGGGTTATCTCTTGCAGTTTCATTGTATTCACGCATAACAATTACTACTGTTGCAGCCATTGCTAATATGATACTTTTATATTTTGTCACAAATCACTAGAAATTTTGCACCTAGGTAAGGAAGATTTATCCCATTGTATCAGAAGCCATATATTATAATAGCAAACTCTTTTTCTGAGTGGCACCATCTAAGTAGAAGAAGGAAGCTTGAGGAAAATCCAAGGTTGGAAAAAATACAATAGTCTTTTTGAGCCTATATAGTCCAGTGGAATTGCCTCTATTGAAAATTGGAAGGGAAAAATAGAGGAGGGAGGAAACTGAATGAAGTTATCTTAGCAGAAGACATTACAGTAGGCACTGCAGACTACTTCAACCAGAGAAGTCAGCCATAGCAGAGCACCTGATGAACCAACCTGGACACAGCATATTATTTGAGAACACAGAAATGCTGGACCACTCTAACAACTACCATGTCAGGCGACACAGAGAAGCCATTGACATCCACAAGCACATAAACAATATCAACAGAAAGGAGGAAACTATGAAAATGAACAAAATCTGGCTATCAGTATTAAAAAAAACCTCTAAAATTATAACAGCAAATAAAGTATTAAAAAACTCTAAAATTATAACAACAAATATAACAGCACTCAAACACAGGGGAACTCCAGACAAGAAACAATCAAAAACAGCTAATCAGCTCTCAACAAAGGATTCCCTCAGGCACTGACAAGCCATTTATTTATTTATTTATTTATTTATTTATTTATTTAGAACATTTTACCCCACCCTTCTCCACCCCTGGGGGGACTCAGGGTGGCTTCCAATTGGCAATAATTCAATGCTGCATCATAAAATACAGAATAACAAATATAAGAATTAAACATGAACATTAATAAATAAAGATTAAAACAGTATACTTACACTCTGATTAGCTATTGCCAGTCTGGTGGCTGTTTAGCTAGCCATCTACTAATGAATACTCCGCTTAACTTATCCAAACCCTCTTCCATGCCATAGTCAAACATTATCAATGGTCCTTTAACCTGATTGCCCGAAGGCCTGGTCCCACAGCCACATTTAAACCTTTTTCTTAAAGGTGAGGAGGGATGACTATGACCTAATTTCCCCGGGGAGCAAATTCCATAGGTGGGGGGCCACCACCAAGAAGGCCCTGTCCCTCGTCCCCGCCAAGCATGTTTGAGACAAAGGCGGAGCTGAGAGCAGGGCTATGCCTAAAAACTGCCAGGCCATCAAATGCTAATCAAGATATCCAGTTGAAACATTCACACCTACCTCCAACAGACAAGAGTTCTTTTTCCCACCGTGGACATTCCACAGATATATATACTCAATTTTCCTAGTTTCCAACAGACCACACAACCTCTGAGGATGTCTGCCATAGATGCAAGTGAAATGTTTGGAGAGAATGCTTCTAGAACATGGTCATATAGCCCAAAAACCTACAACAACCCAGTATTTTTAGAATGTCCAAGTTGTTCTCTTTCCTCCTCCCACTTTCCCCCTTTTTGCCCTCAGCTTACTTCAGTTGGTGCAAACTGAGTTCCAAGTGTTGAGTTAATTCAACAGAGAGGAGAAGAGAAGCGGGGGGGAGGGGGGGGGGATCTTGTCCTTTCCTGTCGTTTCTGGCAAACTGCTGCATCTTTTCCTTGCTTGTAACTAATACCTTTTGCTATCTTGAACACAGATTGCTGATTTTTTGTCATATGTGTCCCAATGTTCAGTTTATTCTCACTCTATATGCATCTCTGTTTTCATCTGTCAAATGTTGGGATGGTATGTACTAGCAGAACAACTAGCAATGCTTATCCAAAGTATGTTCTAATAGGTTGTGGAAGATGTGATAAAATAGCTTGTGAAATAAGTTGAAGAACAACTTGCACTAAGACCATCTTTCAAGCCTGTACACAATCAGAATTACAGAACAAGTAGCAATAGAAGAACTTTGCATGAGAGCAGTGGTTCTCAACCTGTGGGTCCCCAGATGTTTTGGTCTACAACTCCCAGAAATCCCAGCCCGTTTACCAGCTGTTGGGATTTCTGGGAGTTGAAGGCCAAAACATCTGGGGACCCCCAGGTTGAGAATCACTGCATTAGAAAAGACACAGCCGGATACAACCCAATATATTTTCAGCTCATATTTTTGTGTGGAGAGCACTTACATTCTGTTGAAGCATTGCATTTGTTACATTTGGAAAACCAGATAATCTGAGTCAATTATCTCTTCATATATCACTCTTATGGGAAGCAAGTAACTAAGGGAGTAATAGCAACTTTGCCTTTTAATGGCTTGGCTTCTTTTTATAAAATATAAAAAGCACAGAATCTCTAGCTGCACCATTCCAAATTGCCACCGTTGCCAGCAGAAATCCAATTCAATTACAATTCAATTATAGTTTCTTTTAAAAATGCATTAAGCTCTGCACCAGCCAAAGCTAAACATTTTTAAGTCTCGTTGATTCCAATGCACAAAATTTAAGCACACGTATAACTCTTTCATTGAAATCAATGGGGTTGAGAAGTTGAGTGCAGCTAGATGTGACTATGGTTATTGAATACTAATCGGATGATGAAGCAAAAGGTCAGATTTCCCTTAATACATTTCTTACTTACTCTGTTTTTGGAACTTCTTTTCTCAACCAGAAGAAATCAGACTGTGCTGCATGCTTGCGGGTCTGAAGAACGTTGCCGAAATAATCAGTCTCTGAAAACTTCAGCTGGGGATAGAACATAAGGTTGTGCAAGCTGAACCAACAGATTCAAGGGGAAGTATCAAAGAATAACTTTAATGCTTAGGAAGAAAGAATTAAACTCGTCTCATTTCCAACCATAATTATTTGTATAACACAGATAATTCCAGAACATTTTTCCCATTGTGAAGGCTCATATGCAGTCCCCTAAGATGTTGCTATTAATTTACTTGTCATCCTATTTTATTTTTATTTTGGAAAGGTTGGGAAATGAAATGTTTCCATCAAACAACATTTATTGCAAAACTAGAACCATATACACATTGCCCAGTGGGACTTTATGCTAAACAAAACATACACATGCACAGAGTTGCACTTTACATGTCACACAATTGATAAATACTGGGATCTTAGAAGATCGCTATGTTATATGAAATTTTAGTCACCTGAACAGAAAATTCCAGTCAACAAAATGGTTTGGCTATTATCTGGTTCATCACAAAATATAAACAGAGATGTTCCATATAAACAGGACAGTATAAAAATAAGGTATATGTGAGCAACTGTGTTATGAATCCCAACCTTCCATCTTACAAAGGCAAAGAGTTAATAATTCTTACAAGGGTAAGATAAGCCAAAGCATACATTTAAACATGAGAACTTTACAAGCAAAAGTCCCAGAAGACGTAAAATTGATCTTCCCCCAGAGTATTGATGCTCTAAGCAGCTATGTATTTATTTATTTATTTTTCAAATTATATCCTTCAAGGGCTAATAAATATTTTATTACATTGAGGAGACAGTCAGAAAATATAGCTGTTGGCAGTGATGGTGGCTCAGAGAACTAGTAATTGGATATAAGGCTAGGTCACACTTTCAGACTCAGAGCATGGGGCTAAGGATTCCAAGTCATTAACAACTAATTGCTGCAAGTGGTCTATTTGGAAAGAATCAGCAGCTTTGCACAGTCTTCAAAATGTGAAATATGGCTTCAAATCAAATTAAAGTAAAATTAAAGCAAATTATATATACCCAGAGATGCGCGCACACACACACACACTGTTTATATTTGGCATATTCCACCTACATTTCTTATTTCTTATTTGCCAGGAGTTGAGTTAAAACCTGACCAGATGCTTAGTATTAAACAAACTTTTAGGTGTTGAGTCAAAATATGGAAAACTATTGTCTCTTTTCTTGTATTTTACAATATTAAAATATTAGAGGTTTTGAAATTGCATCTCTATTGCTTTCAAGGAAAAATGGGGAACATCAATATTGATCTGAAAATACAAAATAGTTCTATACCATTTTAAAAAGAAGAAGAGCTAAGTTACAAGAAAATCAATTTAATAGAAGCAGATAAATGCATGTTTTATATTAAGAGTTCAGTCCCATCTCTGTCCAAAAGTGGTGTACAGTGAGTGCTTGTGTCTATGGACTCTGTATCTTAACCACTCAGGGCTTGAAAATATCCTCCCACCCCAACCCCATAAAGCAAACTTGATATTTCAGTTTTATATCAGAGAAACCATTTTGCAACACCATTGTATATAACAATACTTGAGTATCATTATTTTCGTAACAAACGGATCCTAGCACGAATCCCGGTGGACACTAAAGGTTCAATGAAGCTAAAACTCTACCCTCCACTTTGTTTGCTAGCCTGATAAAACATAGAATACTATGTGACTGATTTGTCACTCAAGTGTTCATGGGTCATCTCCAAGTAAGATGCAAGGGTACAAATTTTCCAGTTTTGAAATGGCTGTGGGCAAAATCGTCAAGTCAGCTAGTATAACAGCAGCATCTTGCAATTTCTGTGGATTAATTGATTTGTTGCTTCAAACTGGAGAGACTTTGGGGGTGTCTGCTTATGTATTTAGTCTTATTTCCCTCCCAATCCCTGTGACACCAGGGCTCACTCCATGCTCTGCTCTCCAGCCATCAATTGGGTAATATTAAATGTTCCTTATATCATCTCCAGAGTAAGTGAGAAAGAATAGTCATCTCATTTCACCTTGATCTGGAAACAAGTCTGTTAATTAAGATTTCACTTTTAACAGTATGTTCTTTCTGCATGTGTGCGACTGAATGGCAAGTTGTGTGCAATTGTAGTGGTGCTTATTGGACATTACTTAATGACATTACCAGGTAGGTAAAGGTAAAGGTTTTCCCCTGACATTAAGTCCAGTCGTGTCCGATTTTGGAGGTTGGTGCTCGTCTCCATAGATACCTCCAAGCTCATGTGGCTGGCATGACTGCATGAAGCACTGTTACCTTCCTGCTGGAGCGGTACCTATTGATCTACTCACATTTGCATGTTTTCAAACTGCTAGGTTGGCAGAAGCTGGGGCTAACAGTGGGATCTCAGACCTGGATCTGTCACAAAGTCTTCAGTTTGGGCCCTGAAGTGGCAACTAATCAGAGATCACCAATAATTACTAATAAAAATCAAATGTTAAATGTCTTTTTGGCAATGTCTGCTCCTTTGACTATCATTTTGCAGAGTCTTTGCATTTTTTGGAATGGTGCTGGCATATGCCACTATAATTGGATAATGTGAAAAAGTTTCTAGATGAACAATTCACCTTTTCTGCCAGGAAAAAAGACAGTTCAGAGAGACTTAGAAGATCAGAAATAGCTTTGGAGAAAATATGTAACCCAAAGGAAGAAAATATAGGAGGCTGGCAAATCGCCCCACAGGACCTCATCAATGTGATGAGTTCCTTAGTATAAGTATTGCATAATTTAGCCAACAGAAATGGCACTGATGAGTGCATTTCATATGCACAAATGTTAATTCGATAAATTCAATGTTACTTCAATTTTTGGTTGCTTGAGCAACGTGGAAACAAACCAGACTGTTTAAGTCACTTGCTTTCATCATTCCCAGCTGCAGACTTCTTTCCTATTGAAGACTTGCTGTGGCTGTTGTTTTGTCTGGCTCTAAATATCTGTAATGACGAAGTTTCACACTACAATGATTTGATAGGGTATGAACATAAAGCAATAAAAGAAGTGACTTATTATCATTTCCAAGCCTACTTTAACTGCCACAGACAGAGCAATAGCCTCAATGAAGACAATGTGTGGTGTATTTGGGGCTACCTCACGAAAATATTTGGCAATTTCGGAGAAAGATTATAACTCAGAAAATCGATTACGGCTGCTATTAATTTGCTCCAGTGACACAGTTGACAGTCATCTGTGCTTTGTGTTAAAGATACACACTGCATCGACTACTGAACAAATTTAACCATAGGCATAGTTAAGACTTTCCTGTGTGGGTTAAGTAATGTTTGGAGTACTTACTCATCATCCTCAATTTCAATTAAAAATGCTTTATTCTCTTGATAGAAGTTTCATGTAAATAATGTGGGAGATTAAACAGAACACAAGAAATGTGCAAAGCAAAGGAAACTGTTATAGCTAAAGGCATGCATTTGTAGAGCAGAAATGAAGCATTCAGAAAGTTAATATCCATTATTTCCAGTGGGAACTAATATGTGAGCTATTTATGTCTTGTTATTACTCTTTTTGAGACCAAATTTCAGTTGAGAATCAAGTTTCAATCAAACATCATTGTAGAGTATTTTTATGTTGTCATCATCATAATTGTTGTCATTACTTGCCCAATATAGCTGAGCATTCTGGCTAGCTATCTAGAAAGCCAGTATCAAATAATCATCAGGAACATCTGTACTGTATGTACCCAAATGTACACTAAATCTCACATCAACACCCAGGCAAAAGATACTATGAGTGCTTCCAGATACTATGAGTGCTTCTAAAAGTGTGTGTGCTCTTGTGACACAGCTCTTTGGGCTTGCCAGGTCATCTCCGCAACCATTCATCACAAGGTGGATGTCTATGGAAATTTTGTGGATCTGCATCAGAAGAGTTTACACACACAAAAATCACACCCCAAAGTGTAATTTGTTTATGCTGTAGTATGATTTTGAAGAACAAATTTTCTCCATTTTTAAAAGTGCTTTTTCATTGATGGACTGTAACTATAAAAATAATTTCAAATGATAGAGAGAAATGTGAATAAGAGATGGATAGGTGGCAGTGGTACAGGGGGTGGGTGGTTGTTCTGGTATATCTCAAAATTAAAAAGAAGTCCATCTGACAGGCGCTGGGGATTGCCAGAAAACAGGTTAGGATAACCAGAAGATAAGTTAATATTTTTAACAGGCTACGAACTATAACAAAAATACTACAGTCTTCTAAGTATTTGCATCATCTGGAGGAGGTCACAATCCCACAGATGGCATAACTGACACAGAAATTAAGAAACTTGCATATTGTTCTTTGAAGCATATGATATATACTGCTTCTGGGGCTTACAGAGAGAATTAAGAACCTATACAGAATAGTAAAACGTTCCCTATTGAATGTCTACTTAACAGGAAAACGTTTAAATCTTTGTTCTGTGTATTTTAATATGTATTTAATAGAAATACGTTTTAATATGTATATTTTATAAAATGTTTACGATTAATATGTGTTTTTAGCTAACCTGCCTCAAGCCACAAGGGGAGGCAGGTAAGAAAATAATAATAATAATAATAAAAATGATGATGATGATGATGATGATGATGATATTGTGATAGCAGCCAGTTTGCGAACTATTAGCAACCAGTCCATGGGGGGGTGGGTGCTAGCCCCTCACATCAAATAGCCTGAAAAGTACTGAATAAATTAATTTAATTAAATTGCATTTCTTGGTACACACACATTCTGGACTTATGATTTTCTATTACTTTTGCTCAAAAACCTTTCAAGCCCATTTCTCCACAAAGCCCATTTCTGCACTCAGACTTACTATGCCTCTATTTATACTGTAGACCACCTAAATACCTAAAGCCACTAGATTCAATCTAATTTTGAAACCAATCAAGGTCAGCCCTTGTTAGTACTTAGATGGAAGGCCACCAATGAATACTAGATGCTATAGGTTATATTTCAGAAGTCGAAACTAGCAAAAGCACCTCTGACTATTTCTTCCCTAAGAAAATCCTATGAAATTCATGGGGTTGTCCTAAATCCACAGGTAGCTTGAAGACACAGCCACACATTTGCTGTGTTAATTCTTGCTATAAACAGCACTTGAATCAGGAACGAGGGAAAGAAAGGTTCCTGCAGATGAAAGTGAGAGGATGGTGACGTCTAAGAAGAAATAGGAGCATACATATACAGTGGGATTTGATTTCAGGACAACAAAATCGATGGCTGCTCAAGTCCCATTGTATGTATAAAATATGACATAGAAATGACATTTCTTATATAAAATGGCAAAACTTTGGCTTTTTGGAGTATTTTTTAAAAAAATATTTTCAAGCCATGGATTATTGAAACTATTGATGCAGAATCTGTGGATACAGAGGAAGGACAGTAGTTGTACAGCATACATGGAAACAACTTACTCTTATCATTTCCCTTCATTTGCTAGAATTTAAGAGTTCCTTTATGATTACCTGTAAGGAAGGCCAGTTGATAGAATTTCTTTTGAGGCATGAAAAATAGAGCTATCAAAGCAAGGTGTCCACGTATGTGTGTGTGTGTATAATGTTAATGCAGACTGTTCATTATACACAATATTTCAGGTGCCCATCAAGGTGGTCAAATGTCAGCCCTCCAGATGTTGTTGAGTACAGCTCTGATTAGACCTAGTCATTACTGCCAATGGTGAGCAGCCAGTTAACATTGTAATCCAACAATATCTGGAGATCACACTTTGCCAACCCCTGCAAGAAGGAGATGTACCCCATGCATTATATTGCCAAAAAGAGCCTGTATAGAACTGGAGGAAAGAGAAAAACACTTGGGGAGGGATGCGAATGGGAAGGGAAGCAATTCAGTCGGGAGCTGATGATTTGGGTGAGTGTGGGTAGCTATTCACCAACCAAAACACCAGTTACAGGCTAGTTGTAGTACTCTATATAGAAATTTTGCAAAATTATTTTTCCTGCATAACTTTTCTTTTCAACTAATCCCTTAAAATAATTTTTGAGTCTCCATGGAACAAGGATAAATTTCAATCATTTTGTTGTTTTCTTGTGCATCCTATATTGACACCACCTTTGCAAATAACTATACTCGTATTTCAAACAGGACTTACTGTTTTGATGCCTTCCGCAATATAGGTATCATTCATTATAAATTCAGGGTAACCCACTTTCGCCAAAACAGCTTTTGCCTTTGGGACCAAAAAAAACATGATAGTGACAATGATGCTAATTTAAACAATGATATGATCTTATTTATTTCATGCATTAAAATATTGTTTAAAGTTACCTTCAGGTTCATGTATCAGGTGTATATGAAACATACATGCATTTCATGGGTGTTTTTGTTTTGTTTTTAAATTATTTCAATAAATATTAATAGCAAAAAAAAAAAACCCTAACTAGCAAGGTAACCAATTTCCAGTCAGGATGTTAATTAAATTCGAATTTCATGTTTAGGCTGAGATATCTCATTATTTAAATACAGGTATTTAAAAATCCAAAATCCAAAACACTTCTGGTTCCATACTCAACCAGTAATTATTTTCAAATGTACACATATACATACATATATTTACACAAAACTTGTTAAATATGCCTTCAAATCATTTCTGACATATCAAAAAAGTGAGCCTATCATGGAATTTTCTTTGCAAGACTTATTCATTGTCCTTCTCTTCAGCCTGACAAAATGTGACTTTCCCTAAAGTTACCCATTTTGTTTCCATGACTGACCTATTCCATGACTGTCCTATTCTCAAATCACTACACCACACTGGCTCTGTAAAAAAATTTGTACATTCACATTTCATACAAATCTGTATCATTTTTGTCCTCTTTTTAGTGATGCATAAGTCACCATCCTAATGCAGAAATGGGCACTGATGCTCTAGCACTGCTAGAGTCCATGCTACTTGCAAAAAAATTGAGTATTCACATTGAGGTACAATCACATTGAAGTACAATCTATTGTACACATGGGTATTGGGAATTCAAAGCATTAAGAAAGGCATAACATCGTTAGTAAATTGATTTATTATTCTAGTGGAATTTTAGCAGCAAGCAATCAAAATATATTTGTATTTTGTCTCTGCTGCAAAATAAATCCACCAGCTGGGTACCAAAGCTCTGCATGTTGACTGTGGGAAAGCACCATTTACTGCTCTTCCTCTGGGAGCACAAAATTTTTGGCCAAGCCTTCCTGGCCCTAGGTTTTTCTTTCCCACCTGAAATTAAAATCTTCTACCTGTGAAATTACAATTAATTGCCAGATAGATAATTAAGATGCGACAAACTGAAGAATACAGATGGGTAATTAGCAGCAGGAACAGATGAACTCTTAAGCAAGAAAGATCCCATTGTCATGCAAATGTCCTCAATGACAGAAAAACAATAAAATACAAATGGTGCCCCACCACAGTGAGAATAAGAAACAAACTAAGGACTTCATCATATTGAGCTAGAGAAAATGAGGGAAAGTGAGAGAAAGGGTGGAGTTTCATGGGATTCTGTAAAGAAGACAAAGAATTTACTCACTCTCATCACTAAGATCGCCTCCTCCAGCTTCTAACTCAACCATCCATTTAATTCCTATCACATGGGAAGGTGATGACTCCTCCCATTTCAAGGATCACTTTTAAAAACAGGCCTCCTTTAAAGGAGCACTGCCTTCAAACCCCTTTGACTGAAATAGAAGCACCTTTCGTAAAGTGGCACTGGGGTCCTTTGCACTCAAGACCCTTGACTGAAACAGATGCAGCTTTCTTTAGGCAGCACTTTCCCTGGGGTCATTTGCACTGAGATTTCCTCCCATTGTCCCACCAGGATTTCGATTATTTATCTTTTTTTAAAAAAACATCACCCCAGATCAGAAGTGGTTTTAAATTAACCCTTTCTCCAAGCCTCTGCATTGGCGATCTGAGATAATGGTCATTTTGGCTCATCCCACACACAGCGTCATCGGTTTATCTACAAGCGGGCAACAAAAACAAGCAACAGTGATTAACATCACACTGGGAAACTGACCATTTGGACCATCTCTATGCAGGGAATTTAAAAATAAGTCACTTGACAATCGACTCAGGAACCATTGGAAAAAACACCTTTTAGAAATGGCAAAATACCTCACGCCCACAGTTGGAGCTTGCATCGTATGAAGGGGACAGTGGGTTGCCATTTCTTAAATGTGTAGAAACAGTGACTTTATTGTGTGTGATGAAGTAATATATGATAACAGAAGAAACTGGTTTCAATCCCATACACACTCAAGTGGGAGTAAGGTCCACTAAACCTAATAGGATTTACTTTTGAATAACAGAAGGAAGCTGCCTATTTTATACTGAGCCAGACCATCAGTCCATTTAGCGCAATACTGCCAATTCTAGTAGGACTCTCCAAAGTTCAACCAGGCTTCTTTCTAAGCCATCCAGAGAGATCTATTCTATTACGAAGTGGTTTTCCATCTGAATACTGACCAGGGCTGATCATGCTTAGCTTCCCAAATGAGAAAAAAAATCAGTGTTTAGGGTGATGCAAGGACTTCATTTTAATCATCTCTGATCTGCCAGGTCCTAATCCAGTATTGGTCTACATGGACCAATGGTCGAATTCAGTATATGGCAGATTTCTGTGTTCCTTTGGATCTATGGAGTTCAATATCTAGTTTTGCATTTTTTTTGTTTTATTTATTTATTTATTTATTTAACTTATATGCTGCTTTTCCCCCACAGTGGAACCCAAGATTAAAAACTTCCATGAGTAGGGAAGTTGTAAAAGTATTTGCATGCAACAGAATCATTGAATTGAAAGAGACTAAAAGGGCCATCACTCCAATCCCCTGCTATGCAGGAATACACAATCTCCCAACAAATGGTCATCCAGCTCCTGTTTAAAACCTTCCAAAGAAGGAGCCTGCACCACCCTCTGAGGAACCATATTTGACAATTGAACAGCTCTTAACATCAGGAAGTTCCTTCTAATATTCAGATGGAATCTTTTTTCCTGTCATTTTAATCCATTTCTCTGTGTTCTATTCTCTAGAACAGCAGAAAATAAGTCTGCTCCATAGTTAATATGGTATTATTTCAAATATTTAAACATGGCTATCACATCATCTCTTAACGTGTCTTCTGCACACTAAACATACTCTGTTCCCTAAGCCATTCCTCATAGGAGTTGGCTTCCAGACCTTTGATCATTTTGGTCACCCTGCTCTGGACATAATTCAGCTTGTCAATATGTTTTCTCAGCTGTGGTGTCCAGAAATAGACACAATGTTCCAGGAGAGCTCTGACCAAATCAGAATAGATTGATACACTCTTACTTTCCTTGATTAGACACTAAAGACTTCATCAGACAGGCGGAGGGAAAGTGGGCAAAAGTGGGCGAATGCAAAGGGAACTATCTTATCCTGTTCCCATTTTCTAGGATGGCCAGCCATCACACATCCTTTCTTTGCCTTTCCTTTTCACTTTCCCTCACTTTCCCCACTTTCTCCAGTTCAGATGGTCTTTGGACTCCATTTCCACGAGTTTAGGAAATGGAGTGCCATGGAGTGCTCCCAGAAGTGCCCTTATAGGACTCTTGTGGGGCTCTGTTTCCTAAATGCATTTATTTATTTACACTATTTATATACTGCTTTTCTCACCCCTGGGGAGACTCAAAGTGGTTTACAAAAAATAATGGTAAAATTCAATGCCTTACATGCATAAACGAAATCATAAGTCAAACAGCATATCACTAAGCATAAAATAAAACAGGATAAATTCACCACAAGACCACTTCAACCAGAGAAGTCAGCCATAGCAGAGCACCTGATGAACCAACCTGAACACAGCATATTATTTGAAAACACAGAAATGCTGGACCACTCTAACAACTACCATGTCGGACTACACAGAGAAGCCATTGAAATCTACAAGCATGTGGACAATTTAAACAGAAAGGAAAAAACCATGAAAATGAAAATCTGGCTACCAGTATTTAAAAAAACTCCAAAATAATAATATTGAATAAAGACAGGGGAGATCCAGATAAAAAACAATCAGGAACAGCTAATCAGCTCTCAACAAAGGATGCCCCCAGGCAGTAAGAAGCTGCACCCTGAAAACTGCAAGGCCATTAAATGCTAATCAAGGGTGCCAATTGAAACATTCACACCTACCGCCAAAAGATAAGAGTTCTTTCTCCCACCCTGGACATTCCACAGATATATAAAAACCATTTTCCTCGTTTCCAACAGACCTCACAACCTCTGAGGATGCCTGCCATAGATGCAGGCAAAACATAAGGAGAAAATGCTTCTGGAGCATGGCCATACAGCCCAAAAAACTTACAGCAACCCAATGATTCTGGCCATGAAAGTCTTCAACAGATTTAAAGCATTTAAAGCAGGGGTCAACAAACTTTTCAAACAGAGGGCCAGGTCATAGTTCCTCAAACTGTTGGAGGGCTGGATTATAATTTGAAAAAAATATGAATTCCTATGCACACTACACATATTTTATTTGTAGTGCAAAAACACTTAAAAACAATACAATAATTAAAATGAAGCTCAAATTTAACAAATATAAACTTATTAGTATTTCAGTGGGAAATGTGGGCCTGCTTTTGACTGATGAGATAGGATTGTTGTTGTTGTTGTTGTTGTTGTTGTGTGCTTTCAAGTTGTTTCAGACTTAGGTTGACCCTGAGCGAGGGCCGGGTAAATGACCTTGGAAGGCCATATCCAGCCTCCGGGCCATAGTTTGAGGAACTCTGATTTAAAGCACGAGAAACACTAAAGCAGGGCTGGGTGTTTCACATAGGAAAGAGAAGAAGGTGAAATACAGGAAGGAAGATGTCAAGAATGATCTTTTTTCTTTAATTGTTCGCCTATCCCAGCTCCTCACTTCCTTCCCAACTATTATTTTGCTGCCTTGCAAGAAAGAAACATAATACAGCTCCCCTAATCCAAATCTCTTTTCTCTTCCTATTTGCTAAAACGCTTATATTGGGGAGGGGGAGGTGTTATTATGATTAGGATTTTCCCATGGTATTGATTTATCAGTACTCCCACACTTTAAATATCACTTGACTTTCTTTCTACTGGCCTATCTCTGTCTCTGTACATAATCATGGAATAGTTAAAATTACTGCCCATGCATTCTAGATATTTTGTGGAATTATTGTCGAAAAACAACCCTAACATTTC